ATTTAACATTTTGTAAAACGTTTTGGTCATCATCAAATTGTATTTAATATTAAATATTTATTTACAAATTTGGGGTACTATGAATTCCGTTAATTATACCTGATATTATCAGACAGCATTTAGAAAATATAAATATTTAAAAATATTATAATTTCTCTTTAGCTCTCTMACGGGAAAAATCGACCACGAAGAATTATATATATATAYCTAAGGTATAACTAAATTTTTAATGCTAACCATGTTTGCATTTGGGTTGATTGAATTGCCTATACATTATCCCTTAATACGTGTAAGCGATAACGCAAACGACTAGAACGCCAATAATCAGAATTACGGCGGATGATAAAAAATCTTATTATATTAATGAAACGTTTTAAAGTAAAAAATAATAAGAAAAAAAATAGGAAGAGTAGATAACCGTCCTACTTAGGAGGTGTATTCCTCGTCATCGACTTAATTACTGTAATGCAACTAACTTTTTTTCACATTAATATTTTTTATTTTTTATTTTGTTCATTAAGTGAACCTAGTACTACATGCATTATACATTTTTTTATGTTTTATTTTTTAGTACTAAAAATAAAAAAAAAAAATAAAAAAAATAAAATGTTGGATAACTTCAAAATAGCATATTATTTGAGAATCTGATTATAAAACAGTGGTACAAATATTTATCTAGTAGTTTATTTTTTAGAATTTTTTTAAAATTCAATACTTTTTGGTTAAACTAATTTGGATCGCAATAATTTTAAAAAAAATATGATTTTTGAGAATTCGCTGAAATGAGTATATTTCTTAAATTATTTATTTATCACATAATATTAAAAAAAATTGTCATACGATGAATTGGCATAATATTTTTTATTTTTATTTTTTGGTCTATTCTTTCAGTTACATCCTGTATATTCAGGTTTGGACGCTTTGGATTTAGATTTTTTAATTAATTTTAAATTGTAAGCATAAGAAAAAATACGTTTAAAAAATCAAATAAATTTTACAATGATTAGATGTTTAAAAAGTTTATTTTTAGTTTAATAAAGTCTTCTTGAAATTGTTGTCCAAAGATAAACACAAGTCGGAAAAATTGGAACACTATTTTAAAATATAAAAATAAAATATCACGTGGCCAGTGGGGTTTTTWCTCGATTTTTCGTCCGTAAAAACTCATTAGTTTTAACACTCTTAAACACATGAAATAAAATATTATTACCAATCATATTAATTACGATTATAAAAAGTTTTCCGTATTTTTCACAGTGAAATTGGAAATCGACACGACAGCGGACGAACGGAACCAGACCAACTCGAACTCGCTGGACATGAGGCCCAAGGGTGGCGCCAGAAACACTGACGGTACCGACCACATGCGTGTGGACACCGAGGAAATCCGCGAAGAGCTCAAGTACACGCTGCTGGAGACCAATTCCGGCCACGTTCTGGGGCCACGCGCTGTGGCTGCAGTGGCCGTGCTGTTGCTGGTGGCCATTGCGCGTGGTGCGATGATGGACGTTTGAAAAACGAGCGCCTCTCCCGCCCGCCAGTCATCACTCAACTAACTACTCTAACCTTATTAACTTTTCTATTCTTTTTTTCGTGATTTATATAATATTTTATTCATAATTATTATAATTAGTTACAACTTAATGTATAGGTAACATAATATATAATATCGCCTGTATTGTCATTCAAAACAATAACTGTTTGAAGTCTTGAAAAAGTAAAAATGTTTGTGTTTCTACAACTTACTTATATCCCGACTTGCCCCCTCCTGAGAAATTGTTCAATGTGGCGTGAGTGAGACTTTAGGGGGTTCGAATCCCATTAAATTGGTGGCCAGAAATCTAGAAGATTATAGACTCTGTTCTTTAAGTATATAAATATTTATAAAATAATCAAAACTGTATATTTGTATCTTATACAAATATGATTTATTAGCACGACAGTCATTAATCTTTCGTTTAAACATCATGTACTTCTCCCATTGACTATTATTAAATAAAAATTGAAAATTTCCGAACACGTTCTTGCCTATACCTTACTAAATCATAAAACGATGGAAGTACAGTTTTCAAAATGCATTTCATTGTATGGTGTTTTGGAAATTAACAAGCACTTGAATCACCCACATGAATACACTAATATAAAATATATCATCTWTATACTTATTAAATTATAAAACTTTATTTGCTTGAAAAATTATATATGAACGCGGAGAGGCGATGACTAATGAGCAAGGTTAGGATTTTATTAACTAAATAAAAATGACTACTAAGTAACGATGACCCAATAAAATGGTTTGCAAAATTCTCTCTTACAATAAAAATCAACCTTTTAGAATGGCCAAAAAAAAAAATTGAATAAAAATGTTTAGTTTTTAATTTGCATATAAAAATAAACAATAAYTAGTACCTAAAAATTWATGTATTTAAGTTTGAACTATAAATCTTTTAAATTAAGAATATTTTAACTGGGTGACGAATTTTGAAAGCAAGCCCTGAATTCTACCAAGGAAAATATTTAAAAGAAACATTTGTTGCCATGATAAATAAAAAATTAAAACAAAAATGTTTACAGAGCTTTAAAAAAATTGTAAAAAGTCTGAAACATGCAAAAAAAAAAACGCAAAATTAAATTTACAATTTTAAAAATCTTGATGTCTAATTGGATTAAATATTTTGAATGATATTTCTTTGAAATCATAAAAAAATGCTATAAAATCCTAGCCCTGCAGTTGAGTAGATATAGATTCAAAATTTTATTTTGAATAAATAACATTGTAAATAATTAGCAATCGGCACAAACAGTTGTTGTTTTGGAATCTATTTTTTTAAATAATTTTAAATAATGTTTATTTTGCTTTACAATTATTTAAACGATTTTGCTCATAAAGCAAATTGTCTGTTTTAGAAAATCATAAACGAATATTTTTGTTAACAATTTCATTGACCATCGTTAACATTTTGTTTTGGTACTAAACAAATAACGTGTCTTCTATTGTTCATAATTGATCTTAATTATTATTGAAAACTGTAACGATTTATTTTTAAATTAAAATAGAAATGATTTAATAATTTAATATGTATTTATAATTTATAATACTAATATGGTGCATAACATAATATTTAAAATATACATATTTTAACTTAGGCTTATGATTATTCTCCGAAAATGTGCGTTTTTCAATGGCATTTTATTTAGTGCAATCTGAACTAAATGTATTTTCATTTTTCAATTACTGTGATAATTTTTAGTTGTATTATTATTAATATAAAAACAAAATAACTATACATTAAAATTTATAGAGATGATGGATACGTTTTTGTTTAACGCAAATGTGTAATATAATATTAGCTGTAAAGTGGTCATTTTCAATTGATAAAATCATTCTTTTTAGTTTTTGTAATGTAAACAAAATAATAAATATGATTAATTTTCTAATATAATTCATATTTTTCTATCTATATATTAGACGAACTAACTAAATATAAAAACACGGTTATATGCAAAAATTTATTCTCATAACTTGACTTAAATTTATTCTATTTTATTTTTATTATTTGACTTCGACATAAAAACTCTATATAAAATTTAATAAAATATATAAATATATTATTAGCTACTGTTATAACATGATAATTGAATTAGCTTTGGCTACTGATTAGTGACTACCTACCTGATAAAAATATAATTACCTATGATTTATTAGCTCACTAAATCATGTAGACAGTTATAATCAGGAATATTAATTTTTAGGTATGACATCTTTGAATTTAATTCTAACAATCATTATAATAATAATTTATAATTTTTATAGTTCAATTACCTTGAAACTATCATATTATTATTGACTGTACCATCATGCACGTAAAGTAATGTATCATGATGTAACAAAGATTAAATAATAAAACAATCTGTATTATATCTCATAAAAGTACTTAGTGCTATAGGTCTTATTGATATATAAGTTATAAGTAGTCAGAATTAATTGCTATAATTTTGTACTACACAGTAAACACAGCAAATTTGATTGCCAAGAAAAAACATTCTCATAACTGCCACTAGAATTGCTTATATCAAACCCCTCAAAAACCAACATGTAGCTTCGTTCATAATACAATATTTAGCAAACTTTTAAAATTTGTAACAATAAATTATTCTAGTCCGTGTTGTGTGTCTATGGGTTTTTAAATATTGTGCAATCTTCTGTTTTGTTGATATAATTGAAATTCAAAAACACATTTGTTTTAATAACTTCTATTACTTTATTTACATATTGGAACTTATATCTAATGTAAAATGGCAGTTTTAATTATCGCAAAAAGTAAATTTATCAAAGTTTAAATTTAAATGTTCAACTAGTAAATATAAATATTATGCTATGTATAAATGTTTTTACAATAAATACCTGTGATAAAAATAAGTTATACCCGTAAATGTGCATGACTAATATTCATTTTTAAATTATAATTAAATTATATTAAATAAATTAGGTATTTGAATATTTGATGAATTATAGTAAAGTTTATCCTAATTCTTTACTAATAACTCTAGCTATTTTAATTGCATTAATATCAAAAAATATATTTAACAATATAAGTTAATGGTCCATCTTTGCTTATAGTCATTTTTCATGTATCCAGTGATTTTATATAATTAATTTCAAATTTAACACGTCTATTACAGTAGTTCTAAATTCCTCTCTGTACAGCAGATCGGTAAACAATTATTATTTTAATAGTTCAGTTCTGATTTATGAATTGTAAATTAAAACTGACATTTGCTTATTGACATGTAAATAACAAAAAAAATAACAAAGTACTGCAAATTTTTGTGATTAATCTATCACCCGTATGCACAGTCATTTAAGTATTACTTAAAATCATTTTAAGTGTCACCTAAGCACAGTTCCTTAAAATTGCGTTGCACAGTTATACTTATGGGAT